TTATCCTCATCTTCAAGAGTAATAATAGTACAGATAAAAATTGTACTTGTCGAAAAAATAGTACCTGCCAACTAAATTTTAAATGCATGAATAAAAGCGTTATTTATAAAGCTAGCATTGAGCATAATGGCTAAATTTTATTTTACTTCCACTGCTAATCACTGGAAAATCTAACATCACTATCATAAAATGACACTTTCCAATAAGCAATATTCAAATTCACGACACTCTCTAAATTTTTCAAGGAAATTAAGACAAATAACTAAACCCATGTAGTAAATTGGGATGTCATCGCCAAAATCAAACCTATTAACCCCAACAAAGAAAAATGCACTCTGTGCCTCTTAGAAGAACGAACAATTCTCAAATACATCGATAATCATAATCTGCTGAACAAACGATGCGCGCTTATGGTAACATGCAGCCAAAGAAAAAATCTCTTAAATATTTCGATGTTGGCTAGAGCAATTAAGCTAAATTCTACTTTAATACCGCCAGTGACCTGCCTCTAATATATTATTTTTTAACTTTCTATTTTTATCATATTCAGTTAACTCCCTTCCAACATCTTACCTTGGCGTTACTTTTATCCTTTTTTTAAAATTGTTTCATTATTTTTAGGATTGTTTATATTTTTTTTTGTTTTTTCTTACATTTTATTCTTTTTTATTACCCACGCTTTTTATTTGATAACTAACAACGTTTATATTTATACCCCAATGCTATATTATATTTATAATATTCTTGAACTTTGAATCTACACACAATATAGTGTTGCCACCGTGAGACCTTGAAATTTTAAAAAAATAAGCATATTGAACAGTTCATAACTTTTTGGGACCCGATGAATGGGAAGATCATGAAACCCTGACAGTCCTGTAAACATAGGTATATATGCAATTATTAATATACATTTTATAGCTCTGTTTAACTACATTGAACAATGTTTCGTCTACGCCATTGATTAAATAAATAGTTATTTGCTCACCTGTATGAGTACATAATTGCTCACATATATGGTTGTTCATATGTCATTATTTAGATCATATATATATATATATATATATATATATATATATATATATATATATATATATATATACGAATACAAGGTAGGTAGGGATTGAATCAAATGCGTTTAACCAAAAACACTATTTTTTAAAAAAAACCTCAAAACAAAGTAGAGCGAATAATATTTATTTAACATAACATCACTAAATAAATGGCGATTTTGTTTCAACACTTCTGGTGTCTAGTCAAATGATGGTGTTGATCCATACCATCACTTGACAAGACACCAGAAGTGTTGAAATAAAATGGACATTTATGTAGTGATGTCAAACATAATATATATATATATATATATATATATATACGCGTGTGTGTGTGTAGTAGTAGTAGTAGTAGGTAGCATATTTCAATTCAAGCAGGTTTGTTTAAATAATTTAGATGTATTATGTCTATTTATTTTAGATTTAATCCTTTCAAGTCCACGAATTAATTTCTTGCTGGCTGTAGAAAATTGATCAAGAAAAATACCAAATAATTTTTTGAGAGGGCTTAGTTCAACCTTTGAGCATTTAAAGTAACACTTATGTCTACATTCACAGTTTAGACAGATATTAGTCGAAAATATATTTTTGACGTCCCCAGCTCGTTCGTTCGGGTGTCGCCGCTCCAAACGTGACGTCCGCCTGTCTGCGTCAGTCGTGCTATCCCGTCCTGTGACGACCAACTGGCTTGGTATTGGTCACGGCACCCAAATGTGACGTTCTAACCTTTTGGTGGTTCGGATGGGAATCTGGTTAGATTCTGTATCAGCCTTGTCGTTCCCAAAGTAACTGCTTTGATTTCTTGTCTAACCTACCCACGTTGTGAATTGATCTAGACAGACGAAATCAATCAGTCGCCGGGCCGTAATGCAAGCTGAGTTCGAATAAAGGTGATATTGCACAAGTATATGTAAAAGAAAATAAAATAATAACTCGAAAAGTTCAAATGTGTTAAAAAAATAACAATATTTTATATCTGGTTGTTGGATACATAACTACGTCTTTCTCCCAAAACCGCTATATGGATTCGTGACACGTTGTTTTTTGTTAGGCGAGTCTTAACATCTTAAGTTGTTTGTTCTTTAAGAAACTGGTTCTTGGTGTGTCTTCAGGCGATATTTGTAAAACTTGTTTTGGTGGTATGAGTCTAAGTCGTTCTTCAAAAATAAATTGTTCTTGGTTAGAAGATGAGTTCAGAATTGCGTGAATCTTTCAAGTCAGCTATCTGCGAGGCGGGACCCACTTCAACTGCGAACTGGAAACTCTGGAAAATTGGAAACTGAACTTATTTTCGCTCGCTGCGACTTTGCTTATATGGACGCCGACCAAAACCGGGGTGGGCTTTTCCGAGGTTTGAGGTTCCTTGATAATTCCAAATCCACAATCCCCTTCTTTTATTTTCGGTCAGGAAAATTTATTATTTCCATTTTTGAAGTCTTCTCACCATATTCATTCAGAGGGCGTCAACGGTTTTCCTCCTTCGCAGTAACATATCATACCTATCCCTTAATGGGTGGTAACAGGCCTCCTTCTGCATTTTGTATCATCACCTCCGCCTGGTCCTCGTTAACATTCAGCCAATGGGCGTTCGACAGTGTGGGTGTGACCAGACTAGCCTTTGTTTTTTAAAAAAATATCTTGCTCAAAAAAAAAAAAAATTATCTCCTCTTTTTTACGGAAAGACGTTTTCTTTTTTCTATTTTTCCTTTCTTCTCTGGCCGCCAACAGAACAATACGACCCGTAGTGTGATAATCTCAAGTCTTATCCCAAAGTCAATTTCAAATGGAATTCGTCAATCATTTTTTCGCCAGCACCAAAATGGCTGGTCAACCAGACACACTCACTCTCCAGTCGCCAATTTTTGATACGATGGAACGACTTCGCCATTTTCTGATAATATTGTTTCGCTCATAGTCAAATTTCAACACAAAACAGACACCTTTTGTCTAACGATAACTTTCCATCGACAAAGACTTTTGTTATTTTCTTTGTTTTTTTTTTTTTCGTGTTGGTCAGGGCGTTCCTTTTTTCTCGGTCACGGAAAATCAAAAAATTTCCCGATAATATAAGTTCGCCAACAGAAATGACACAGTTAATTTTTTTGCTATTCAAAAAGAATAAAATCTGAGGAAAACATCTGACCCATATTAAACTTAACCGAAATGGAATTTGTCAAATGGTCATAAAAATTTTTTGCACCATTCTTCATTATCAAAATAACATCGCTAAATGCCCTTTTGTGATGGCTTTTCCTTTATCGTCTAAGTTTTTCTTCTCGTCTCTCTTTTTCTTTCTTTTTTTACTTCCTTTTTCCTTGCAGCCCTAAATGATGTCACATATTAGTACTTCATCAAAATAATAATAATCAAAAATTTATAATTCTAGGAAACTTTTATATAAGAAAATTGCGGCTAAAACTAAAGTCAACTATGAGTATAAAAATAAAGTTCTTAAATGTTTGTACAACAAAGTTTTATATAAAAATACAAAATTAAAATATTATAATTAAAAATCTTTTTTTTTCTAAAAAAAGATACAAATGTGTTACCTCCCTTGCATAATTAAAAATTTAATTTGAAACACTGTAGTGTAAAACGGACAGTGTAAAAAGTATTTTGAATTTACGGAACTACTGTATACACATCCACAGATATTTTAACCCCGTGAAGATGGCCTCAAATGAGACTGAAAGTACTTGGGGAAATAAAAATTATTTGAAAGAAAATTTTGGAATTAGTCTTCATCAAAAAATTAATTTGTGGACATGAAAGAACTAAAATAAATAGACATAATATGTCTAAATTATTTAACCAAACCTGCTTGAATATATATATATATAGACTTGTTTGTGAGTTTTAATGTTTTTTTAGAGTGACAGATATATTCTTAAACAGACACACATAAATTATACCATGTATGCAAAACACACATTCACATACATATATGTGTGTGTGCGTGTGTGTACATACACACACACAAACACATAAATATATATATATATATATATACATTGATTTATATATATATTTATGCATGCATGGAACATATAATAAGACATGTAACGACACAGTAGATATATTCATACATGCATTATATATATATATATATATATATATATATATATATGTGTGTGTGTGTGTGTGTTGAGTGTGTGTGGTGTGTGTGCTCATCCAAAATTTGTATCTGTGTGCGTTTCTTCGTTTAAATTTTTTACAGCTGAAAGTACACACTGCGTTCATATATATATATATATATAAAGTGTCCAAAAATTATATATATATATATATATATATATATATATATTTATATATATTTGGTTCACTGAAAATATTTGTGTTCCTTTTCTATTCTTCTTTCCCATGCCCAATCAATTTTTATTTTGAAATATCTAAGAAAGATTTGTGAAATACTTTATTTTGGGGTTATTACACTCAAGTGGCCACCAGATCTCTCCAAGGATTTATTTGTGTAACCTTTGTTCTCGTGAATGCATTTTTTTTCACATTCTTCCCCTTTAGAAAGGTTGAATGTTTTTAGAAAAAAAAAAAGATGGACGGTGGAAAAAAAAAGGCAAATTGAAATTGGATAGATTTTTTTTCTAAAATCTACTCTAACAAGCTGCACGACATGATTTAGTTATCGTAAACAAAAGAAGAAATGTCAATGTATATAGATATTCCATCCATTTTGATGACAAAAGGAGAATTGGAAGAAATTAAAAGAAGCTGGAAAATATGGGAACATTACAACGGAACTACAAAAAATTTGTGGATCATGAAGGTGGCACTTGTACACGTAATAGATGGTGACCTTCGAACAGTCCAGAAACCCGTTGAAAGAGTTAAAAATAAAAAAAAGATGGAATTTGCAGAAACAATATTGGAAACCGTCCAGACAGTAACATTACTAAAATCAATTCGAATAATATTGTGCACCAAATAAAAGTCTTACGGCCATATCACGTTGAAACATCGGTTCCCCCACGATCACAGAAGTTAAGCAACATCGAGCCTGGTCGATACCTAGATAGATGAGCGCTTGGGAATACCAGGAGCTATAAGGTTGAATGATGTAATGGATAATGGATTGGAATTGTTAATCGGAGAGCTGAGTCACAGTGGGGTTTCGTTATATTCACTTACGCGCAAATACTATTAGGTATAACTCTACCTCTTCTCCCCCTGCTATGGGTTAATTAATAAGACCTGTGTCACTAAATCTCGACAAAATTAAAATTCTTATGATCTAAAGATATTTTCTGGCTTTAAAAAAGTAACTTCGAATGGTTCATAAAACGTAACCCCCCCAAAAAAAAAAAAAAAAAAAAACGAATAAATCAAATCATATCAAACCAAATAAAAGTACCGGCATGATTAAATAATTTCCTTCATCGACCACCGGTGATCCGATACGATGCTTATTTTGTAGACCATGCTCAATCTTTTTCAAATAATATTTTCAAATAGTGATCTTATATATTGTGCATGACTATTCTTGTCGGCCCCAGTATTTGGTTTAAGAGATACCGAGGAAGGTGCTGGAGACTTGTTGTCATTTAATCGCCTCAGAGAAATACTGAATTTAGTGGCGTTAAAAGTAATTAAATGAATAAATATACTCAGGCTTGTGCTGGAGACGTGATGTCACTTGATCCCATATGGTTGATACTTTTGTAGAAAGTAAACGTTAAATAAATAATTTACTGATATTATCAATGACAACATCCCTGTGTTCAGTGCAGGTGTCACCAAAGCCTCTCTCCTCGGATTCACCCTCGTTCTGATTAATGATAACGATCTTCCCGTTAACATTCTCAGTAAATATCTATGCAAATGATAACATAATTTACGAGGGTGGGCTGAAAAGTTCATAGGCTGACTATGAAGGAGTGACGCTAGAGGTGTGAAATATAGCATGCATTAATTGCAACTCTTCTTATTAATAACAACATTCTTTATTTCCAGGTAAACAGACATCTATCTGTCCAAAGAAGACAGTTCATCTTGTTCAAAAAAGGCACCAGCGACAGATATTACGTCATCATGGCTGCTATACTGTTTCCACCCAAGTGTTTTTTCTCCTGTTGGGGAACTGATGATCGTCAAATTATCGTCAGAAGTATAGGGAGAGTGATCAACCAGCATAATTACTCACAGCTGCCATTGAAACCAATGACGTGTGTGCTGGAGCATTGTTCTGATAAAAGAAAAACTCTTCCTTTTATTTTATGGGCGTATCATTTGATAGCTATTCGTATATATATATATATATATATATATATATATATATATATATATATATATATATATATATAGCTAAAGTAAAAAAGACAAGCTGAAAAGCAACTATCCATTATTAATATACCACATAACACCCTTTGAGCGGGTAGAATGGAGATCAACGTGTTTTAGTGGACTCAGCAATTTTCAATCTGCTTGTCTGAATCATCTTCCAGAAGTGAGAGCAAGATCTAAAAGGTCAACCAATCTAACAGTGATTTCATTTCACAATCCTCACACTTGCTCCATATGATTTGTAAATCACTAGCGGGTCTTAAATGCCACTTAAGATTATCGCACAAAATTTCATAACTGAATCAATAAGCTGGCAGATCCTCATACGTCGAAACCGACGGAGAGTCCATTATATATATATATATATATATATATATATATATATATATATATATATATATATATAATGAATATAAGTTGTTCCAACGAGAGAAAAGTATGTATATTAAAAAGAAGAGAAATAGGTGCCGCAAACATTTTTGGTTGTAATGTGGATTTGTTTAGAAAAAATTTAATGCTTTGTTTTAATATTTTTTTATAAATAAATTCACATTACAACTAAAAAATTTTATATACCTTTTCTTTTTTTAATATATATATATATATATATATATATATATATATATATATATATATATATATATATATATATATATATAATTTTTTCTTTAATATCGATACTCGATCAAATAAAAATATATATTTGAAAAAGTGATATCAGGGAAAAAAGATCAATAAAAACAAGAAAAGACTAAAAACATTCGTTTTAGTCTAAAATAATCGATCAGCACCGCAGGGCCTCTTCGAAAGGAAAAGAAAAACACCGGCAGAGTAAATTAAGTAAAACGTAAAAGTGCTAAATACACTACGAGGAGCAAAAATTATTAAAAAAAAAACTAGTGAGCCAGAACCTACCTACCAAGGATTCACCTAACGGACCTAACCTCTTTAGCCATTTTTCTACCCTGAAGAGCCGTTTGGTGAAACCTTAAAGGTGCTATATTTATATATATATATATATATATATATATATATATGTTTTTGTTTATAAACAGTGCTTTCACTCAAATTTATTAAAAATAACGTATAAACAGAAAATATATTAAATAATTGTCGAACTTAATCCATTTCATAATATGTTGTCAATGTTTACGTTAAGGTACATTTCGTGAACAGATATGTGCGTTCGGGAAAGATCGTCGAAGATTGTGTGTTTATAAGCAATAATTTGAACTGTGATAACCAAATGCTTTCCTCGGAGCTAAGTGGTATAGATGTCAGAACAAGTGACGGTTCCGTATAGGACACAAGTTAGATTCCTGTCGGAGAATGAATATTTTCTACGAAATTTCTCGAACATTCAGGCTGGTAAATATAATTAAGACTGTTTATTTAAAAAAAAAATAAATAAAAAAACAAAAAACCCAAAAACCAAAGGATTTTATATAAATACAATATAAATCTTATCTATTAAAAATAATATATAAACAGGAAATAGATTAAATAATATATATATATATATATATATATATATATATATATATATATATATATATATATATATATATTTTTATTTATTTACGAATATTAAAAATTGGTTCATTTATAACAATTTCTCCAAAATGGGCGGAAAAGAATAAAAAAATCACACATTTTAAAAATTTTATATGTTTGTAAAACCATTGTTAAAATAATCGAAATTGGGCACTCTTATATACATAATTACAAATTATATATATATATATATATATATATATATATATATATATATATATATAAAGATTATATGTGTGTGCACGCGTTTGCGATTACATGTGTGTCTGGATAGGTTGAAGTTGTTTGTAAGCATGAGTTTTGAGTATGAGTTGTGTCATGCATTCGTACAATAATAACTAATCAAGCGTCAGAGAAGCTTTTAATTATGAAGCTTTATTATGGGATCTTTTATAATAAAAGTGTTTATCTTTCGAGTAAAATCCTTAGATAGTACTGAGAAACAAAACGTCTCTCTGTTTTAATGCCCACCAATTAAATTCTTTCTATCGCGCCTCTTTCAATATTATCCTGATAAATTTCTTTGTAATAATTCTGGTAGAAAAATACTTCTCTCTCAAAGTCTTTTTTCTTTTACCGTCAAAGTAATGAAAAATTTATTTTGTGTAATTACGCCACCATATATATATATATATATATATATATATATATATATATATATAATGCATGTATAATAGGAAGCATATTTTCATTCAAACATGTTTCATTGAATAATATAGGCATCTTGTGTTTACTAATTTTTATCCTGATCCTTTCCAGTTGTCTAATCAGTTTCTTGATGTTAAGATTAAATTCATCAACCAAGGCGCCTTTGATTTTTCTAACTCAAGTACTTTCGATCATTTCCAAGATCATCTTCACGGGTAATCTCCATAAATACAACGGATAAATTAAATTTGCGCGTATTTTAAAAAACTACCATAAAAAATGGAATGCTGATTTTATCGCAGTTACAATAAGTTTGTCCTTGTATATATATATATATATATATATATATATATATATAAAGACACGAGGAAAAAAGAAATTATTCACATCGTCCTTTTTACAGATAAATTTTAGTTATAAGTAACTATATATATATATATATATATATATATATATATATATATATATATATATATATCTCAGAGGCGATTAAACTGTTTCATGCTAAACGCAATCGTTAGGCGTTTATCATGAAATTCTGAAAAATCTCTCACCTCTGAGTGTAGATTTCAATGTTTACTTTTATATTTGCATACGCTCTATCTCTGATATTGAGCACTTTATCCCATAAATGTAAGACACCTTAAAATCATATATATATATATATATATATATATATATATATATATATATGATTTAAGCAGCAATTGTTCAAGTTTGATAGAAAAAACACATGACGTCACGTTAGGTCATTACAAAAATTAAAAGAATACCAGGATGCAAGAAAAAGAATTCTAACTACCACTCAGACACCACATCAATTCTTGATAATGATTGTAAAATCGAAAGAAAACAAAAATAACAAAATATGAACATCGGACAGTTTATACACAACTTCGATACATATGTTATAAAATCACTACAAAAATAGCCTTTTTGTTTCAACACTTTTTTTAACGTTTCATTATGTGGAGAATCACGATAAAATGTTTTCGGGTTTTTTAACGTTGAAACAAGATGTACAGTTTTGTAGTGGGTATGTGTATGCTCTAATGTAAAACTGCATAATAAATATTTACGTCTCTACTTTAGTATTGAGCTCTGTTTTAAATTAATGCTTTGAACGCTGAAATCTTACTCTTCTTTCTTTTACGTTTGGAAATATATATATATATATATATATATATATATATATATATATATATATATATATATAATGTGTGTGTATACAAAAGAGATTTATACCCACAGAAATAAAACACAGATTTGAACAAAATGAACGTTATTTTAGACCTAAGGAACCTTTCAAGCAACAGTTTTTCAAAGGTGAACGTTCGCAAATTGTAAAAACAGTCAAGGACACAACCATAATAACGAAAGAGAAGGGAAAGTTGGAACACGATTAAATTAAAATACTTTTTAAAAAATTTAAATAATTAAAAAAGGGAAAACGTGTTCCACAAGAGTATAAAATGGAATAAAAGACACTCACAGTCACTCCAACAACCGTAAGGAGCGCATAAAATACTCATTATGTCTACACAGGCTCGGCTGGTGAAATT